TACTCCACACACTACTCGACTAGTGTTACAAAAGACGCAAGGTATTGACTTTGGCCAGCTGTTTTTTCTTGTGGCGGTTTTCTAGAAACCCCGTAAAAATCCTCGATTGCTCATAAATATTGAATCCAAACTAACCTGAAATTCGGATTCAGCATGTCACTTTATGGGTAATTTAGTATTTTTTCCTGTTCCTTATCTTAGCCAGATGATAAGATTTTTACGGGATTTCTACGGGGAAATTGTGCGTTTTATGAAGGAATATAAAATGTGGGACTCTTAGGAACGCCAATGTCACGCTTAAACCATAAAAAATTAAGAAGTCGCTTAGTTTCCGTGGCAACTTTCAGAATACCAACCTACTTTTCCAAAAAATCTCATAAAAGCCGAATCTTTGCAAAGGATTTTGAAAAATTTCTTTCATAGAACCACGTCCTCCGATCTTGACTATCGAATGACGAAAACCGAATATCTCTCTCTCTCTCTCTCTCTCTCTCAGAAGTCATGAACATAGGTGTTTTGATATGTTCTACAAAATGGTATCTCATAGATATTGTATTTTTTGGTATCGAATTGATATAACTAATTGTACTTAACGCAAATATCGTTTAATCACTTGATTCTCTCGCAAGTAGTACAAAAAAGTGTCTGAATTCAAATAAAATTACTGGACTAATACTTTAAAAGAGAAAATATCGAACCATATAACAACTTCATGGTCTATGATGGATGATTGCGTTAAACAGAAGTAATAATTTTGTTGTAAGAAGAATATTAATATTTTCAAAAGGTGTTTGATCACTTGAGTGGAAATATATTGCTGATATAAGAGGTTAATTGCGTTTTTTTTCGATGCTTTAACTTGAAAATAAACAGATTGAATGAAAAACAGTATTGATCAATATCGTATTCTATAGTTTGTAATTGATGCAAAAAGAGAATTGTGTGATGCTCATTGATACGTGAAATATTCTTCTTCTCTTCTCATTTGCATATATGAACTATTTTTAAGAAACGAGAAAAAATAAAAGAAAATTTTTATCTTATCTCTACTGGTTTGTTTTATTCACAGAACATTAATAATGTTCATTTAGTCTCAATTGTTTATGCAAAGTGATAAAATAAACAAATTGTCAATATCATTATCAACCACATAGAAATGATTAACTAAATCACGCTGTAAAACAGTATAGAATGATGATGATGAGGAGGAACCTGCTGAAATTTTTGAAATTATAATCATCACACGAGTATACAAAGAACATTATCATCATCATCATCGACAATTTATTTTAAAAACAATAGCAATCTTTAGTAAACAAATTTTGTATAAATTATTTTTCTTGAAATAAAATCATCATTAGTCATTGTCCGTTCAGAGCGAAGAAAAAAACGTACCATAGTTTCAGAAACTATAAATAGCTGGTGATTTCACTCTGATGCACTCAGTTAAACATTGTTCAATGTTTCTTACGAACCATCACAGACATACAATAATACCATGAGAATATATCTGCTGATTTTTCTCATACAGGTTCATATTTTGGCTGCATACGAACTTAACTATGCTGCCAGAATAAGAAACCTGCAAGAGAAAAATCACTATTCATTCGTACTTGATCAAACAGAAGAAATTTAAATGTTAACAAGAAAAGATAATGGACGCACAGGTAATTATGATTAATAGATTTTACGAAGCACTCGCTTCAAGGTAGCCCAAAGTCGAAAGTTGAAGATGTTGATCAAATAGGCTCATGATTTAGAAATTTGAAAGAGATATTTCAGTTGCCAAATCATGCGTCATCTTGATGCATCAGTTTCTACGTGATCAACTAACATATAATAATACAAACACAGCTGAATAAAACTTTATTCTTTTTAAATAGTCGACTACGCCTCTAATCTTGAAAAAATATTATTTTAAGTGACGACTATTTTCTAACGTAAAGATTTCGATTTTGTATAAATTGCATGTTCCTGTAGGAAAACAATATTTTACGTATTTGACATGGCTTTGATTGATTCGGAACGAGATATACTTATTTTATTCTTGGCAAATAAATAGCTTGAGATTGTGCACTTCCAACAATTTCATTTTTTTTATCAAGTTTTACGATTTTCTTATTGAAACAAAAATTGTTGTGATATTTAGAATAATGAATAATCTAACTTTTTATTCATTTCCGAGGCTCGCTAATCATCCAGATGTAATTTTGAATGTTCTGGAAAAACAATAGTAATCCGACAGAGATGGGTATGAACGACGACAGCCTGTTGGTTCGAAATTCACTTATCCGAATGAACAGAACTGTTTAATTCATTCAAAAAAATCGTGGTTACTATTCCGAAACGGGTAGTAATTCAATCTAGCTACCATCTAATTATGACAAGTACTTTGCTGGCGTAATAAGCCGGTACTTGTCTTTTTTCCAAAGGGAAATTTATTTGTAAGTACTGAATTTTCACTTATCACTAACAAGTATTTTCACAAAGTACTTCATATCAATAAAACCAAGTACTGCATTCTTAGAGAGGTACTTAAAAGTGCAAGGCAAGTCAATGAACAATTAAGCAAAAATACTTGCCAATTTCAACTATTTTGATGAAGTATGTTGAGTACGGTACCTTTTATCCTTCAGATAAATAAGATTTAACTGTTTAAGTGAGTGAAAAGAAAACATTTTCAGGTATTTCTCATATGGAGGCATAGTTATAACGAATATTCAGAGGCGGCGGACCCACTAGGCTGGGTAAGGCTTAAGCCTTACCCGGATTTGGCTCTGTTAGGCTGAGCCTTACCCCATTTTGATGTAGAATTTTGAATTTAGTACTATGTTATTTAGATAATACTTGGCTACATTGACAGAAAGGCCTCATTTATCTGAATAAAAGACCAAAAGACGTTTGGCTGCGTGTATTCAACTCGGCTTTTTTCACTGATCTTAAACGCCGAGACTAACATGAGATATGTGTAGTGAGGACAGAGGACTGAATCACGATAAAATGTTAACTTTTGGCATCAGAAACGCCAAGAAACCTCTAAATATATATTGTCTTTTGTTCAAAATAGCATAGTGCTCCTTTAATCATATAGATATGCCACGTTTTTCAAACAAATTTACTTTGATTAGTCTAGGGCAAACTTTATCCGTTTTTTGGCCTTTTTGCTAGGAACGTCACTTGTTTTGAAGTCTGAGTGAAAACAGCTTGGATTCATGGAGCTCGAGCTGACATTTTATTTTGACCAATTGAACTCAAAAAAGTATTTCCTTGTTTGCTCGCTTGTTCTTGTTACGAAAACTTTTATTACGGAAAACTGCGCTTTCTCGAAAAACTTTCTAAATTTGCTGTTTTTCTTACCACGAGCTTTACCCCATTTGGAAACATTCCGCCGCCTCTGCGAATATTTGATTTAATTGTATGTATTAACTATATAGAGGCATTATTGCCTAAATCACTATTTCAAAAGTCACCATCGCTAAGATTTCAGGTTGTAGTTTGGCCGATAATCTTCCTCAAAGTGTGAGCTCACAAAAAAGCAGTTGACCAAGGTAGAATGAAGAAATATCAATTATTCGGGATATGTGCATCGTCCCACACTCTTACGTTATTCGCGGTCCACTTCATGTTCATCGTATTAATCGAACAGGGTTAGGATAAGCCACAGTGGAATCATCATACAGTAAAAATATCGTCTTTCAAATGGCGCTATGAGTATGACCATGTTGAGAACAGCGTCCACAAACATCCTCATTTTACCACGATGCCTGTAAAATGTTGAATTGGCTAGCTTTTGTCAACTGATCATGCAGTATTCTAGGTATTTGCTCAATGCGAAATACTTCTTGTGTTCAAATGAGTATAAATCGTGTAAAACCTCAATCATTTGCAAGGAACTATTCTAAAAGTGTAAAACATCGTCCTTCGGTAATGTCTGTCTAATGAATGGTTATCAAACTGAACTGTGGGTAAAAGCCAGATTAACTATAGATACATGGATTGGTTGCATTACATTTTCCGATTCAAAGTGCTACGATATATTAAACTGTTTTTTCTCTACAGAACATTCTGACTAAGTGACACATGAAAATTCTGTTCAAAATCTTTCGTAAAATTTCAGTTTTATACTGTAGCGCTTTATACGAAAATTTTTTTGTACTTCGCGAAAAGCTACTTCTTGTTATATTTTCTTCATGTTATTTACTATCGTAATGTCGATCGGAATAGACACTGCATACAGGTGATTAAGCTTCACCAATTTTTCTCTAAGCAAGCGTTCCTGGATTATTCACTCTTTGCTAGAGATCCCATTTTCCCTGCTTATGTTTGTTTTAAAACAAAGTTAAGATGTATGCTTATCCCCTTCACTCTTTTACAATTGTGTTTGTTCATTTGTGTGTTGAAATAATTGACAATGATGTATTATATGCCTTCAGAAATGATTAATTTTCGAATATTGTTTATAATATGTTTTATCATGAAAAGAATTCTATAATACAACTGGCATGTGTTTTGTCAGCGCTTTATCGTGTGATTCAAGAAAAACATACAATTTACACAACGGTATTTGAGACTGATGTACCATCAAAATGCAAGTGACACGTGGTTTTCAAGATGTGATGAAACATTGTAGTCTTTTTGTAATCGACCAAAATTGAATGCTGCGCTAAGAAAAAAGAAACTTTTTAATATCCATTTTGTCCTTAACAACATTAAGCTATGTATAGAGAAACTTTGCTCACTCTTTTGTGCGTTAATTAAAAATAGTATGCTACTATTTTTTGTATGTTTGATGTTCAAATTATACTGGTGTTGCTACAGACGGTCTACGTTGCCTCGAAACTTGTTAGTTATTCATTTATTTTCAGAGATTGAAAGGATTTTATTTTTTTTACTATTGCTATTAAATATCGATTATTAAAACTATTACGCCTTTGTTTTAGATCTATCTTTTAGACTCAAGATCGTGGTTTAATTCTCTTTTAAAAAACAACAACTTCCAAATGGCTAAAAGAACAAAGAAAGTTGGTATTGTTGGAAAATATGGTACACGGTATGTATGAGTTTTCTCGTCTATTTGTTTATTCACTGTAACATTTGTTCTTTTAGTTATGGAGCATCATTAAGAAAGATGGTTAAAAAAATGGAAGTTACCCAACATTCAAAATATACGTGTTCATTCTGTGGTAAAGATAATATGAAACGTAAATGTGTTGGAATATGGAAATGTCGAAGTTGTCTAAAAACGGTTGCTGGTGGTGCATATGTTTATTCAACATCAACAGCCGCTGCTGTACGTTCGGCTGTTCGACGTTTAAGAGAAATGCGTGAACAATAAAAATCTGTACTTTTAATTTTATTGTTTTTGTTGTTGTCATGCATAACCGTTATCGAGTTTTCTATTTATGTGTATATTTTGAAATTATTCGATCTTCAAGAAAATATACACATACAATAGTATATGGAAAAAATAAAAAATAAAATTTGATTAAATAATTAGATAGCATGATTTTCAACTTCATTACATGAAAGCTATATGCCAATATTCATATTTTTCCAAAAAACCTGAGTTTATTGGTTATTTTTTACGCTTAACTATAGACAGACGTTCAAACACAGACTCTCAGTCTCGAAAAATCTACAACTAAATACAACTGTGAACATATCGTGATCTTATTTGTAGTAATTTGCCACTTTGGTAGGAACAAAATTTTGTCTAAAAAGATAATTCGTAGAAGACGAAAACAAAACTTTATTTGTTTTGTGCGCTGCAAATGTTTTAGATGTAATAATCTATCAGGAAAGAATATCTATACGCTATAAACAGACAAAAGTTCTCGTTAAATTGGATCTGAAAGACAATAATTTCAGCTTATCTATTTGGTTTCTGTGGAGTGATCGCATAAACAATTATTTCATCTTTTGAACAAGAGTTTCTCGCTTTTTTCTTAAAATTTAATTAGACAAGATATTCTATTTTCCAGCATTTTGTTGTTACGTACATAAGTACAATTTAGTTTATCTCACAGTGATCGTTCTCACTGTTATAGTAGATATCTTGTACATATATATATTTCCATCATTATTTGTAATATTTTCTATACCATATCAATATATGATTACATGCATGTACAACTGACAACACATATTTTCATATACTAATTAAAAGCAAAATGACAATTTCGGTATGTATAGTATGTTTCTTGCACTATTGCGCTCTATTCTGTCGAAAGTCTTTCCAGCTAACGAGGAATCTTCCGAGATGCCCACTTCCGATTCAAATGCTTTGTACACGAATTAATAGACCTCAGTGATGTAGTAAATACCCTAAAAGAATTCGAGCCCATGACTCCTGAAGACCCAGTTTTCTGGAAAACCAGTTATTCAGAAACTCTAAAAAATAACTAAAACTTTTCTTAATGAGGCATGATTATGGCCTGTAAATTTCTGATTAAAATAAGACGTCTCTCAGCTCTACATGACCTTTCTTTGGAAAGTTATAGAATTTACAAGAAAAGCCTCAAATATTCATTGTCAGCTCAAAGCTACAGAAATAAGAAATTAATTCAGGGCTTTTCTTGTAAATTCTATAACTTTTCAAGGAAAGGTCATGTAGAGCTGAGAGATGTCTCATTTTAATCAGAAATTTGCAGGCCACAATCATGCCTCATTAAGAAAAGGTTTTGGTTATTTTTTAGAGTTTCTGAATAACTGGTTTTCCAGAAAACTGGGTCTTCAAGAGTCATGAACTCGAATCCTTCTAGGGTATTTACTACCTCACTGAGGTCTATTGATCCATATACAAAGCATTTGAATCGGAAGTGGGCATCTCGGGAGGTTCCCTCGTAAGTGATCTAGTTTATTTGATAAAATTTTTAAGGTAGGTCTCTATAAATTCTGCATTAAACGTCTTACTGAACGCTACTATTAATACAGATTCTTCATGTTTTATTGCCAGACGAAGATCAATAATTATATTGCAATTTTCTATTTAGTTTTTTTTATTCTGATATAAACAATGTATGCATTTGACATTTAATGTTTGAATTTTATTTTTTTAAAAATGTTTCTTAATCGATCCACAACGTTCTTAAATTTATTTGTATTTATTTTCATGTTTTTAATTTATTTGTTTATCGGTTCTCTTATCTTTTCAACAATTGAACGTCCAGCAGAGAAAGTAATTATTCAAGAAATGATTGCTAAACAAAATGAATTTCTTACAAACTTTCGATGTGTGAAAAGTATTCTACTTAATAAGCAAATCTATATTTTTCTAGAATATATGTTTTCTCTTCAGAGGAAAAATTTGAAACATTGATGGTTGCCTTGATTGATGCTAAGAGACATGGTGTCGACGCACGACAAAACAGGTCAAATTGGTCATTTTCACAAGCATTTTTCTTTACCATAACGGTTGTAACAACGATCGGCTATGGACACGTGTCACCATTGTCAGAAATTGGACGAATCTTTTGCATTGTGTACGTAGTTGTTGGCGTACCAATGACATTCATCTTATTGACAATTATTGGACGAAAAATTCGAATACTTTTAAATAAATCCTATTTATGGTTTCGTCGAAATTATTCAGCAAACCATACACCTGAATCTTGTCTACGTTATATCCATTTTTCTGTTATATTATCTATAATATTAATATTTTTGTTTATTATACCATCGTTGGTATTTTCGTTCATCGAACAAGATTGGACTATAATCGATGCATTTTACTATTGTTTTATCTCGCTTACAACAATCGGTCTTGGAGATTATGTTCCTGGTAAGTTAGAATTGAGTACACTTGTTGTTGTTATTGTCAAAAATATTATTTGTCTTCTACTCGTTTAGATGATAAACCAGATCAACAAAATAGACTCGTCTACAAAATATGTATTATACGTAAGTAAATATTAATGAATAATAGAATGAAATTGTATCAATATTTTAGTGAATGAATTTCATTCGAGGGTAGAATTGCTGAAACAGAGAGGATGACACAAGATCTCGTTTTCTTCTGAAAATCCAATTATTTTAATAATATTTTAATGTAAAGTAAACATGATATTGAAACAAATTCTATTCGATTAACAATAGAGAAAAAGAAAGTACTTGACTTTTCGAAAAGAAAATTTCATATTTTAATAGACACAAACTATACAACATACATTTGCTCGATAAATCGAGCTAAATCTTGTCTATTTAATTCGTTTGATGAGACAATTGAGTGTAGTTGAGCTACGGTGGGATTACTCTCTCCATATGTACACCATGCACTAATGACTCGTGACATTGAATATTGTTTTCTTAGTTTACCTTCTGATTGGTGTTACAATAATGATGTTGCTTGTCTCAATGGTATCTCAAATGTTTGAATTAAGACTGACAAACTATTTTCTTAACAAGACTAAATTTAAGGATGAAAATTGCAATAATAATGAAGATTCAGATCTGTTATGGTTTGCCCATTCATCTGAATCATCACCTGTCTCGACTCCGTCTTCATCGAATATAATTTATCGACGACAATTAAACAATAAAGAATTAAATGATGTATTACTCGGTGTTAAGACCATTTAATACGAAATTAATAATTGCACATTATGAATAAAAGTTTAGTGAAATGTTTTTATTATCAGCAAAAATATGGTGCTATTGTGATTTATTTTCTTCCCTTTTTCATTGCATATCAATCAATATAACTTGTTATTTATCAAATTTTTCATTTTTACACTGGATTTTTATTTGAATTTATCTCGTTTTGCTACTTTTTTCTTCTTCTTGACATTTATGATCAATAGAATGAGAGCTATATAAACTTGTTAAACTGTTTTTTTCGATTATCTTGATATTTTTGCGAGTTTGTTATTTACTTTTTATTTTTTTATTAATAGTGTTGATGATTCTGCGAGATCTGATATTTGTATTGTTAGTCTGCTAGAAATGTTGTTTTTTGAACGCGTACGTTGAAACAACTTATGTCTGTATCTCATTGTTTATCTGTAATTTTGCTCATTAAAAGAAAAAATATTTCCAATTTGTCTTATAAAAGTATCCGATGAAAGTGGCGTTCAAACGTAAAGAACTTTCTTAATCGCAGTAAAGTTTCTCTTCAAAAGTATTTAACCTACATTTAGAGTTTCAGTTATTCACGAGAAAGAAGAAAGAAAAGTTTTATTTTCATTCACAATCGAGCTAGTATTGAAGAAAAGGTAGTCAGAACTCCGATCAATCCTGTGAAAGTATTACCTCCAAACTACAATCACACATTTGTAGTTATTCTATATGATACTAGAGATGAACATAAGATATTAGGTTAGATAGTATATTTATTATAGAAATGGACTAATGACAGAACCGACTGAACTAAGATTATTTGTGTAAACAATAAATATTTTCAATATTTCATCATTTTTTCCACAACATCGGTCGAAATAACATTCATTACGTTGTTTCATAATGGTTGCTGTATTAGTAACCAATTCACTAAATAAACAGTACTATATAAAAACGTGCCAATATCAATTCGAGCTTGATCTAAATAACGTTCTCCTATAATAAGTAGATTCGGTTCAATAGGACTATTTAATCATAAAAATCACGAGGATATAGTTGTTTGGATAAATTCATAAATAAGTTTTCATCAACAAATGTACCAATAGCAACTCGTCATTCTTGTTCAACTTGACCATCACTTACTATTATACCAATGATCAGTGTAGTTAATGAAACTAAGAATACACAACAAACAAGAATTCTTTTCATTTTTTGCATTTAAATTGAATGGTTATTTCTGAGAAAAATACTGTAATGCAAAAATATTAGTTTTAGGTATACGGGTTCAGTGTTACGATTAACAAATTACCATAAATATGCCGCTGAACTTATACGCATAAATGTTTTGATTGCCATAACTAGAATAATTAATTGTTGTATAGTTATTAGTGGAAAGAAATGTTTGTCTTAGATCGTGATTTCTACTTAGCGATCAATTTCTTTAAAATAGGAGTGGGACAGTTCCAGTTCAGTTCTTTTGAACGGGAACGGGTACCAGTTCGTTACTGTGATTTGGATGATGGGTGTACCGAATAGAAGAGTGTGGATTACAGCCATTTTGATGTTGCCAAAACGTGTTTTCTAAGTTTTATAAATATAAGTCGCCTGTTATTCTTAAATAAATTTCATCAATTTTCAGTCGTTGGACGACATTTTGAAAATGAATGGTATCCGAAATAATTTCAACGGGAATATAAAATAAACTTGATCAATCAAATGTAGCATTAATAATTTAATGTAACAGTGAAAATGGTGAACTTTAGACAACAAAAACTTTATTTT